CTCTGCACCCCGACCCTCTGCACCCCAGACCCGCTGCACCCCCCGACCCTCTGCACCCCCGACCTTCTGCATGGCACTTGGATTGGCCACCAGTGGAGGCACCGGCTCCAGCAGCGCTTCCAGGGCCTGGGGCTGCCCAGCTCCCTCCACGGAGCCGCCACATTCAGAAAACCGAGGGTCTGAGGGCGGAAGGGGACCCGCCTGGACAGAAAGGCCGCACACGCAGCCCCTCCACCTGCCGGCGGCCCTGCGCTGCCCCGTCTGCTTCCAGGGAGGCCTGGCCGGGAGCCGCTGGTTGTTCGCTGGGAAACGGTGTGAGGGGCCCTGACACCAGCCCCCCTCGTTCAGAACCACGCTTCAAACAGACTGCGGGTCCCCCCTCCTCTCTCACCTGAGCACACATCTCCCTAAAACCCGCTGCCCCTCCGGGGCCCTGGGCTGTGCCCTGCCGCGGTCAGACAGGAGCTCCCCGCACAGCCAGCTCAGCCCTCGCCTCTCCACCTGTCAGGGAAACCACGGCCACCCAGCCTGACCCTCAAAGAAGCTGCCGACTCCACCTGGGGCCACAGGACCGAGAGGCTGTGGCCGGCCCCTCCTCTCACCGCGTCCCCTTCCCCACGCTCCCCTCTGCCCGCGAGAGAGAAGGGACCTCGCCACTCGCTCTGCAGGGGCCTCAGCCGCAGGCCGAGAGGTGGTCGCTCTGGATCAAGCCCGGGGCCAGGACCTAACTGCCAGCAGGAAGCAGGGGGAGGACCTGCGGCACCAGAGGGTCCTGAGGGCCTGCACGCGGGAGCCCAGGGCAAAGCGGGAGGAAGCCGGCAGCCCAGGCGCAGGGCGTCCGAGGACAGGGTCTCCCGTCTGACCCCCCGAGCTCCATCCTTACGGTCAAAATGGCAAGAAATGGCCCACGTGCTCGGCAACAAGAAAGGTGAGGGGACCTGCAGGGCGGGGCAGCTGCCTGACACCCCAACAGTCCTCTGGCCTCCCCACTCTCGGGTGTAAGGCACACGGCAGACCCAGGCCCCACCAGGCCCAGCCCCGCTGCTTTCTAGGCTGTGTCCCAGGTGAGTGGGTGGAGGCGGAGGGCGGCTCAGAGGGGGAGTGGGACGCGGCAGCGGCCAGAGGCAGGCTGGGAGAAGGTGAGAGTTTTCAATCCCAAATCTGCCTCAATGGGCCCCGGGCACCGTGACCGATCAAGTGACCACGATTCTGAGCGGCTCTGCTGTCTGAGCAGAGGCTGCTCCGGCCGCCCCTCCTTCGAGGGCGAGGGGCAGAAAGGCCGGCACCGGGGACCAGGATGTCCTGCTTCTGACGAAGAACCCAGACAAGAGCCCTTCCTGGCAGGGGCGGGGCGGGCAGAGACGCATTAACCCACGGGCGCCAGCTGGGGGCGCTGCGAGGAGACCCTGGGCTGGGGTCTGTGCTCCCGGGGGGCAGAGGGGGGCCTACTGGCCCCCAGGCAGCGGCCTTGGCCTCTGGGTGGGCCCAGCCCCAGCCAGCCGCCTGCGAGCTCGGCCACAGCACGTCTGACGTTCAGAGCCACTCACCTGCCATGTTGGAAATGTTAACGTTCAGCCTTTTCGAGTTACAGGGCATTTTAAGAAAGAAAAAAAAAAGGGCGATCAACTCTTGCTTTGGCAACGGTAGGGGCGGCATTTCTCTAAAACCCAAGTCAATGGTCAGAGGGGCCGGAAGTGCTTATCTAGACGCTGTCCACAGGGCCCCGGGCAGAGGGCAGTGCCTGAAGCCGCTGGGACACGGTGCCTGCTGGCGCTCCCTGCGCCCTGCCTGCGCTCCTGGCCTTCAAAGCACTGAGGGACGGACAGAGCCTGGGGACGGACAGAGCCTGGGGACGGACAGAGCCTGGGGACGTGCCGTCTCCAGGAGGCAGACCCAGGACTGAGTGGTTCTTCCCGAGGCCCCTGGGAGGGCTGACAGGCAGCTAAGGGCAGGGACAGCCACCGGGAGCCCTGAGGCTCCGGGCAGAGGTGCTCCCAGGGTCCCCCCCAGGGCCTGCCCTGGCACCACGGGGCCTGAGGTCAGCTGTCCCTGTCTGGGCTCTGACATTCTCCTCCACCAAAAGGGACTGAGTGGCAGGTGCTCATGCCAGTCAAGTGCTTTGAGGGGCCGGGAGCAATGCGCCGGGACCCCCCACGCCTCGAGGGAGGGCCCTGGGCCAGTCAGGGTGCTCTGCTCCGGCCCGCCCTGAGCGCCCTGCACTTGGGGGCCACCTGAGCCAGGGCTGCCCGGAGATGCAAGCCTCCGGGTTCTCCACGCTGCTGCCCAGCGTCTGGACTGGGCCGGGGCTTCACTCCGGCTCTCACAGGAGGCCCAGAGACCGGAGGGTCTAAGCCAGGTGGCCAAGGGTCATGAAACAACCCGAGCCTTCTGTGACCTCACCGCAGGCTCCGACTGCTCTGCGAACCCCGCTCTCCTCACTCGCTTCCCAGAGGCCCCTGGCCCTGGCCCCAGGCTGCCCGGCTGCCCCGCCCCACAGCCCCGGACGCTGGTGCTGGAGCCAGGCTCCTCCCTTACCTCGACAGATGGTCCCTCCGGGGGCAGGGTTGACACACATGGGTGGGAGGCGGGGCGGGGGGAGTTTGCACTGACGTTGTCTGTGCTGGGCCCGATCTGGGGAGAGAGAGAGGGCATCAGGGTGGCACCGACCCTGAGCTGACTCGCCCAGAGCATCCGTGAGGGGCTCCGGGCTGCTGGGTGGTCTCGGGAGCCGGTCACGGGTTCTGAGAAAGTGTCACCCGTGCTGCACAGGGAAGGGCCATCGCCTCCTAGGGACCCCTCCCCGCTTGCGGCGCCTTCGCCACCCTCTGAGTTCAACGCCCAGCCATGGACGGCTCCCCGTGCTGAGCTGTGAGGACGAGCCGGGACAACAGCTGAAAACCAAAGAGCCACGTCCCCCGCCGGCCCCCACCTGTCTCCCCGTGACGGTTCTCCCGGCGCCGGCTGTGGGTTCCTGGACGGCACTGCGGCCACCAGATCTCTGCTCTTTCCTCTGGGAACCGGCAGAGGGGCCCCCGGACTGCTGGGCGCCCCGCGAGCCCAGGCCAGGCGCACACTTGGCAGCCCTCCCTCCCTCTAAGCTAGCGGTCGCCATCCCAAATGTCTGCACTTGGAGACTAAACCCTGCTTCTCCAGCGGCCTTTCCAGGACATTCTAAGAAGTCCCAAACGTGTGACACGCGAGAGCTACAGTCAGGACCCACCGCCTTCCATGGGGAGGAGGGTTGGGGTCTCTAAGGCCCGCTGGACGGGGACAAGGGGGGAGCCGCGCTGGCCTGGGGAGGAGCAGGAGCCGCTGCTTGTGGTGAACACGAGGCAGGAGGAGCGAGGAGCGGGGACACCACCCCCCCGCCGCCCCCGGGAACAGCCTGCTCTGCACAACGATGCCCGTTTCTTCTTTTTTAAAATATATTTACTTTTACTGATTTCAGAGGAAGGGAGAGGGGGAGAGAGAGAAACATCAGTGATGAGAGAGTCATCGACCGGCTGCCTCCTACAGCCCCCGCACTGGGGATGGAGCCCACAACCCGAGCCTGTGCCCTGACCGGAATCGAACCCTGACCTCCTGGTTCCTAGGCTGATGCTCACCCCCTGAGCCCTTGCTCCCGTGCAGTGTCTGAGGCATGAGAGCTGCGAGAGCAGGAGGAGAATTATAATTTTCAGCAGGAAAAGCAAAAGCCCTTTCAGCCATATTTTTCCAAAATTAGGAGGGAGTTTCCCTAGAGCCGTGGTCAGCAAACTGTGTTGCCCCTTGAGTGTGGTTCTTCCTAAGCCTTAGGAGTACCCTAATTAAGTTAATAACAATACACCTACCTATATAGTTTAAGTTTAAAAAACTTGGCTCTCAAAAGAAATTTCAATCGTTGTGCTGTTGATATTTGGCTCTGTTGACTAATGAGTTTGCCGACCACTGCCCTAGAGAATCGAGGTGGTAGGTGCCGTGTTTTTGAAGATTTTCATAACAACATGCTGGGGGGAAAGAGCACGTATCTGCACTCAGGGCCTCCTCCCCTGGCTCCCAGGGGCTCCCCCCCCACCCCCCAGCAGCCTCGGCCACTGGCAGCGCTGTCCTCGTGACAACGCTCGCCGTGGCTGTGCTGCCGCGATGCCGTTGTCCCCGGGCCCTTACGTCCCAGGCGTGTGCTGGGCAGACACCCGCGAGCGGCGCAGCAGACACACCGCAGAGGCTTCCGGAGCAAAGTGCCAGGACCCAGGTGTGTCTCGGCCCGATCCCAGCTCAGGGACCATCTCAGCGGCCGCTCCTGCTCCCAGAGGGTCCTTATTCACGCCCAGGGACGCCGGGTTTAAAAGAAGAAATGGTTTGAGGACCACTGGTTTGATGATCTCATGAGGCACTTCCAGTAACTGGGGCAAAGCTGTTATAATCCCAGCCCCTCGCCACGCCCTCTCCTGCCGCCGAGAGCCGCGCTTCCAGGCTTGTGCGGCCTGCAGAGGACCAGCTTGCTCCTTGTGGTCGGGCTGACGGCAGCGCGGCCGAGAAGCACCTATGTTCAGATGCTGGCAAAGGCATCACCAGGCCCCTTTCCAGGCACATGAGCTCCAGCGGGAGGGACACAGCGCGTGGGGTCCCATCGCCAAGGGAGCTGCTCTGGCCGTCACCTTCAGACCCAGCACGGGCCCTCCCCCTGCACGAAGCCCCCAAGGCCCAGGAGGGGCCTCCACCCCAGGGTCCCACGCGCAGCCGATGCTCAATCCTGCAGCCACACAGTGCGGCCTGCGGAGGCGGCCAGCGCCTTCCAGCCAAGCATTGCGACAGTCTGCAGCCAAACAAACCGAACCTCCTCGTGTGTCAGGGACCTGCCAACCCAGGACTCGGGGCTCTGTCTCGGGAGCCCCAAGGCTCACGTCACTCTTCCTCTCAAGGTTCAGGACCCTCGGGAGCTCGAAATCTGGTCAAGAGAAACAATGAGCATCTGAGAGCCCAGCGGCGTGGCCAGTGGCCGAGCATCATCCCGGGCAGGGAAGGCGGCGGCTGATTCCCGGTCGGGCACCTGCCCCGGCTGCAGGGTCCACCTGTACAGAGGCAGCCGGCCCACGTCTCTCTCTCCCTCTCTCCCTCTCCCTAAGCATGTCCTCGGTGAGGATTAAACAAATAAATAAACACGTGGAGCATTAAACAAAACAAAAACTCCCTAAGAGATGAAGAACCGTCTACAACAGGGAAAGTATCCCAAGGCCACACCCCGAGTTGTCAGGGCCCTGGCGCAGACCTCAGCGACCCCCGCGTTCAGGAGGCAAGAGGGCCCAGCCTCATGGTCCGTCTCCAGAAGACAGGTCTGCCTGGAGCAAGGCGAATGGTTTCCCGAGACCCCACGCGGCAAGAACCCAACCCTTCTCTGTGTGGAAAGCAAGGCCCCGAGCGAGACTGTACGGAGTCCCGAAGCTGCTTAATTACTAACAGGGATCGCGAGTTGACCAGGTGTCAGCCTGCGCTAAGCTCTTCACGGCTTCCAGGCTCCTCTGATCCTGGAACCCCCGATGACGCGGGCCTGGAGGCAGCGAGGGCGGAGCTGCCCGTGAGCAGGTGCCCGGCGCCCGCTGAGCTGGTGCTGCAATGACCCTGGGGGACGCTCTCAAGCGCGGCGGTCCCGGCCTGGGAGTCACTCACAGAAACGACAAAGGGGTTTCCGAGGCCGGGCGGGCAGCCCGTGGGTTCCAGGCGGAGGAAGGACCCTGAGAGTCACTCACAGAAGCGACCCAGGGACTCACGCTGGGGGCTCACAGCCCCGCCCCGACCAGGGGAGGCGGGCACAGGCCACAGCACCGGCCGCTCTTACCTTTTCTGAATGAGTCCAGGCTGAACATCTCTGGCAGGAGGGAAGCTGGAACCCTAGAAAGAGAAGCGGCCAAAGGCAGAGGTCAGTGCTCCGCCCAGGGCCCTCCGGGGAGGCCTCAGCACAGAGGATCCGGGACTGAAGAAGCTGCCCGGACCCGAGGGAGTGAAGCTCTGCGCCCAGGAGCCCGCTGCTCCCGTCCGAGGGGGAGGGCCAGCTCCTCGCGAGGCCGTCAGGCTTTGCTCCTTCCTCCTCGGGAGCTCTCTCCTCCGTCCTGAAGTCCGAGGCCCTGCCACGGAGGCGATCGCTTCATCGCGGACCGGAGGCCCCGCTCCAGGAGCCCTGCCTTCCCGGGACCCCTCTCCTGGGCGTCGGAGCTGGGCTGACGCCTGCCCTACGGACAAGCGGTTTACCGGGCTTTCGCAGAACCCAGGTCAGCCCCTCGGGGTGGGGTGTGACTGCGCATCAAAGACAAGCGGTCAGTGCGCAAATGCACAGCCGCCCCCGAAATAACAGAGGGTGACTTAAAAGTTCAATTGTTATCCTGCTGACTACGCCCCCCCTCCCCCGCCCCCACAAAAAAAAAGTTCAACTGTTGGCAAAAAACGGTGTCGCATTTTGCTGGTTAGTACACTTAACCAAGGAAGCTTCCTAGCGACTTAGAAGAAAGTAACACCTCTGGTTGAACAATTTCGTTTTAAAATGCAGTTAAACTCAGGATGATCGATGTTTTCAATGACACGTTTTCTGGGGTTGGTGCAGTAACATTACGTGGCCTTCATCTGAAACATCACTCACGCCTCAGCAAAGCAGGAGAGGGTCGGCCTTCCCAGGCGTCCGCTGGGCCTGGGCGCCTGCCCCTGACCACTGTTCCCTCTCCCTGGGGGTCACGGGCGGTGGGGGTGCAGGGCTGACCGCCGAGTCTCTCAGGTCCACGGCAGGTCTGCCCTGATGCCCTCCTCCCCCCAAGAAATGCCGGGAACTTCAGCCGCTAGGATATGGCAGCTCAGAGAGAAAACTTCAATACAATAGCAACAAGAATTCAATTTACTTTAAGAAATTACATTCCATAGACTCCTTCTGTCCAAAAAAAAAAAAAGAAAAGAAAAGAAAAAAGGTGTAATTTGAGATTCTAACTTCATAGAAAACCTGAATATTATAAAATATAAAATATCTAAGTGATTATTTAAGAAACAATACTTTCTCGCCAAAAAATTGTAAGTTAATTTGCTTGTAAATAGACTTCTGGTTTTGCTTTTTAAAAGTCCCCAATCCTCTCCATGACAATACTAACTCATATAACATGTCATATAACACTATCTTTTCCTGTATCAAAAAATACAGTATGATAGTCAAGATCTTTTTAAAATACTGATTTTAGAGAGAAAAAGAGAGAGAGGGAAAGGGATAAAGAGGAAGGGAGAAAGAGAGAAATATCAATTTGTTGTTCCACTTATTTATGTATTCATTGGTTGATTCTTTTTTTATTTTATTGATTTTTTACAGAGAGGAAGGGAGAAGGATAGAGAGTTAGAAACATCAATGAGAGAGAAACATCGATCAGCTGCCTCCTGCACACTCCCTTACTGGGGATGTGCCTGCAACCAAGGCACATGCCCTTGACCAGAATCAAACTTGGGACCCTTGAGTCCGCAGGCCGACGCTCTATCCACTGAGCCAAACCAGTCAGGGCCATTGGTTGATTCTTGTTTGTGCCCTGACCAGGGATGGAACCTGCAACCTTGGCGTATTGCGATGACACTCTAACCAACTGCCAGGACCCAAGATAGGATCTTAAAGAAAAAAAAAAAAGATCTTTTATTGGTGATATTTTACACAGATCAAAAGAAAGCTGCCTTCCTTCAAGGTTCAGAGTTTCTCTTCAATAGTTTAGAGAGAAGTAAAATAATAGAATATCAGGTTTTGCACAATGAAACATTACTTAACTCCAGGAAGAGTCACTATGGGATGCTTCAAGGACAGAGAGCTTCCATAACGACTAATTAAAAATGATACCCTGGCCCTAGCCGTTTTGGCTCAATGGATAGAGCATCGACCTCCAGACAGAAGGGTCCCAGATTCGATTCCTGGTCAGGGCACATACCAAGGTTGCAGGCTCCATCCCCAGTGGGGGGCGTGCAGGAGGCGGCCAGTCAACGATTCTCTCTCATCATTGATGTTTCTCTCTCTCTCTCTCTCCCTTCCTCTCTGAAATCAATAAAAAAAAATTTTAAATGACACCCTTCTTCCCAAACAGTCACAAATGAATGTAATTCACAAATGGTTGCTTTACAGTGTGTCTGAGCCTGAGACCCACCACTGCCTTGTGCCCGTGGCTAACTCACCTTACGAGAGCAGTGAAGACCTCAGCTTCTGTAGGCGTCTGAACTGCAGCTGAATTCTCTCCTTGCTATTCCTCATCACGAGGCTGGGCCTCCTCCTGGGAAGTACAAGGCTGGGTCACTGAGAGATGCGCCCCTCCCTCCGGGAAGGAGAGTGGCTCCATCACTGAAATTCACTTACTACCTCCGGCAACAAGGACAAGTTTTGTTAGTGGCATGAAACACACATGGAGACACTGGCCTCGCTTCAGGACCTGCCAGGACCCACTCTAGACTCACCAAACCGTGAGCTGCCCTAAGTCATCACCTCCAAGAGGCCAAGGGAGAGCCCTCCTGGCAGAGGAGCCGGTAGTTCCGAGAGGCTGTCTCCAAGCCCAGGGCACAGCTGCGGCAGCTTGGAGTTCTGCTGCCATCAGGACTAAGGTTCACCCAAGGCAGGCGAAGCAGCTCATGGAGTTTGGGGAAATAACAACTAGGCCTTGAGCACCATTTGCATAGTTTACCGAGGACTTCTGTAGAGTTCTCTCACGTCTACGCAGCCACCCGGCGAGGCAGGAATTCTCTCCCAGAAGTTGCACAACTGGCCCAGGACCCCGAAGCTGCCCCGGGGCGGAATGCAAATAGGCAGTTAGGGACTGAGCTCCGAAGCGGTCCTGGCTTATCCTACACTAACTCCCGCCGTGCTGCGCCCAGTTGGCCCCTGGGTGTTTGAAATAACATTGGATAATAGCATCTTCAAAAGCTGAAAGGGGCAGAAGTGTCCGGGGATAAACTCTGAACCACAGCTACAGAAGTTAAAACACATGGAGAGTGAATACCTTTTGGAGGTATAGGCATACCCCACGCAGGTTGGGGGGAAAAAATGCAGCAAAGAATGTATTTGCTGCACCTTATACTCCAAACCTCCAAGATGTAAGTGTAAATTATACCATGTGGTCAACACCCACAATGACAGTGGGTTACTTCTTTCAAAGAAACTGCCAAAGGAAACCATCAGACAATGTCTCATTTACTCTGCCTAGTAAGTTGCAAGCAAAAACGGGTTGAGAGTCTGCAAGTGGCCATCTGCGGTCCACCTGCTACAGGGTACGGCAAGCCCCTGTGGGCTGGGGGTGCAAAGTGGGACCACCCTGCCTTGCAAAATCACAACGAAGGGGACGGATGCTGCGACGAGAAGACTAGCGAGGCAGCGTGCTAGCGCCATCCTCCTGGCTAGGGGGGCTCTGAGGCCCCCTGGGCTCCAGTTCACTGCAAACAAAGAACCCAAATGCATGACCACCAGCAAACAAAGAACACCTCACCCCTTGGCTTCCCCCCGTGACAAGGTGGGTGCAAAAGGGGGCAAACCGGGGGGGCCAGATTGCACCAGGCCTCCCTCTGGGCGCACGGCCCAGGCCGCGCGGGGGGCAAACAAAGGTCCCAGGGCACTCCAGCTGGGCTCCAGTTCACTGCAAACAAAGAACCCAAATGCATGACCACCAGCAAACAAAGAACACCTCACCCCTTGGCTTCCCCCCGTGACAAGGTGGGTGCAAAAGGGGGCAAACCGGGGGGGCCAGATTGCACCAGGCCTCCCTCTGGGCGCACGGCCCAGGCCGCGCGGGGGGCAAACAAAGGTCCCAGGGCACTCCAGGGGCTCCCTGCAGGCCCGGCCTCGAAACGGAGCA